ATAAATATTGATGAAGATTAAGAATTTTGCGTTTTATTTAAAATTTCCGGAAACTTTTCGGTCACAATGTATAATATATATATATATATATGTACATAAGTATGTATTGTATGTCTAAACACATTAAATATATTGTATATAACAACCACATTTATAGTGGTTACTATACACAAGTACTAGTACTTTGTTAAAATTAAATAGCAATTTTATGAGAAATTATTATTCATTTTTCATTCATAAATTAATTAAAAACCCAATGGTAATTACAATAAAATTAAGAAATTTATTTTTAATATTTTATTATTTAATATTATCTTGATATGTACTTGCGATTAAACACCTTCTTAAGAATAATCAATTACTGTGATCCAAAAAATTGATTACATTACAGAATATGCGTACTTGATAAAAACATATTCATTCCAAGAATGCGTTAGATACTATAGATATGTATTTTAATCTCAGCTCTAGGGCATATTTTATCTACATTACGATTAATACAATAATATTGTTATTGGAAATTGAAATAGTTTAGTTTTTAAACAGGTTCCAAACGCAGAGATATATTTTAACTTGTTTAAAATTTTCCATTTTAGGAAAAATGTAAGTAATTTTTATATTAGGGCATTGATATTTCTATAATCAGGATGTATATATAAACACGACTTGAAGACTAAGGCTGATTTTGAAATTTGTCAAATTGGCGAGATCGTGTCAAAAAAGTTCAAATTAATTGTATGCATGACAAAAGGTCTAAATCAAATATTAAGTTTGGATATTAGACATTTTTAAACCCTGTATAAGTATTATAATAAAATTGAGCAAAACAGCAAGCTACCAGGAAATCGCAGAGGCACTAAATATTAGCCACATGACAGTTTGGAATCGTTTTGAAAAAAGCAGGATACTCGATATTTCAGCACTACATTTATTAACACCAAAAATTTTGATTGACTGAATTACCATTAAGGCTATTGAAAGGCCAGCGAAATCGAACTGCTTTTAAAGTAAATCATTACTTAATATAAATAAATAGATAGGATTAAATAGGAGAATATCAAATGCAACCGATCATGTTCTAAAGCCTGTTACCCTACACAAACGAATTCAAAGCTAGTTTGGCAATAAACAAGGTTATACTAAGTGTTTGGTTGGACCGAAAGGGAATTATCTATTACGAGCCTCTATCTTGATACAATAGTTTATTTGGTCTGCTATTGTTCACAACTTGACTGGTTGAATGAAACAATCAAGGAAAATCGACCACAATTAACCAACAGAAAAAAAACTGTGTTCCATTATACTAATGCCGGATTACACACATCACAAAGATGTAGAAGTAAATTGACGGAATTCAGATGACATGTTTTGATGCAGTCATTGTATAACTGAACCTTTCATAATCTGACTACCATTAGCTTTGGTCACTACAGAATTCTCTTAATGCCAAAAAATTAACCGACTAAAGACCAGCTGAAAATCACTTGGTTAAGCTTCGGTCTCTACAGAACTCTCTTAATGGTAAAAAGTTAACTGACTAAAGACCAGCTTGGTTAAGCTTCGATTTCTATAGACTAAAAACCACTTGAAAATCACTGGATTAAGTTTTTTGCCATTAAACCTCAAAATTTCTAGACCGATAGAATTATAAAACTCCCCAAAGAATGCTAAAATTCATGAATAATAAGGGCCGACATATACTTGATTAAAATTCATTTATAATTTATCCAAAAAATTGCAGTAGGTCATAAAAAATAATGGCCAATATAAACTTTATCAAAAGTTTTTTCTATGAAGAAAATTTTCAAAAAAATGTATCAAAAAACGACGAATACTTTTTATATCACCGACCAAATTCATGTTTTTATGCACAAACTCCAAACTGAACTGAACAATGTAAGCTGTTACATTCATAACTAAATATAACACGAACTTATATAATTTAAATGTTAAGCTTAAATTAAGTCTCCAAAGGGCTTAACACTGCATTAAAAATAATTGTCGTGTAATTACTGTGCGAAAAAAGCACACAATTTACACTTTATACTTTACGCAATTATTAATTGTCTGTTAACTGTTAACAGGCATTGACGCAGGTGCTTGCTTCATTAAAGCATTTTATAAGTTGTTACATTGACGCAAGTGCTTCATTAAAGCATTTTAAAAGGTGGTGCATTAACGCAGCTGCTTATTTCATTAAAGCATTTTTAAACTTGTATTTTTTTTTAAGTATTTAATGCATTTTACGATTTTGCATAAGAAAAAGTTTTTTTTTCTATAATAAAAAATAAAAAAAAAATTTCTGACTTAGTAATGCATTAAAAATATAACAACACGTAAGCGTTTTTTCCCCAGCTTTATTTAATTAATAAAGAATGTTTTCGAATTGTTATTTGTTATTGCAGTTCTGCCTTTTGTAAACACAATTAATTTCTATTGAAATTTCTGAATTTCAAAGAAAGCAGCAAATAATTTCTTTAAAATGCTTTATTCATTGTAAAAATGTTAAAAGAGCACAATAAAAAAAAATAACACTCTTTAACTAACAGAAAAGTTAACATACGCTATTGCTCATACTCTTTCACACTCTTTATATATATGTTCTACACATTAATAACGAACAGACAAAATACACTCTCGCACTCGCACTCACACCAAACTCATTTACTGATTATAAAACCAAACTGAAAACATTTGCGTTTTCCGTTGTGCTTTGCTTTGCTTTGCTTTACTTTGCTTTGCGAAGAGGAAAACGGTCTGTCAATGCGATTTTTGATGTCGTAACACCGCAACACAACATTTCGAATTTGAATTTGATTTTTTATTTGAGAATTTAGCATTTATTTTTGCTTTTAAAATTAATTTTTTTTATTGCGATTTAAGCTATATTTATTTCAAATAAAAACCAGTTCTTATTTATGCAAAATTTAACTACCGTTTGTGTTTATGACGCCGCTGCTCTGCTCTGAACACAGTTAGAATTTTAAAGTTTCAACAGCTGCTTGCATAATTTTCACATACCTCCAATTTATCCATTAAATTTCTTTGAAAAAACACTTTAAGATGTTTTGTCAGCTTTCAGAAACAATTTTAAATTAATATTTAATTTATACAAAGTATATTTGCAATAATTTGATTAGCTAATTCTAAATATACTTGGGCGTAACTTGTTTTGTAAGATACTTTTTATTTACGTAACTGCTTTGCAAGTTTATTTCAATGAATGAAAAATGTTTCGTCACATAAAATTTAACTTCACTTTATTTTTTTATAAATTTATTATTGTATTAAAAAAATAATAAAACATTTTTAATTTAAAATTATGTTTATAAAATTTGTTTTTGTTTTAAAACAACACACGCCGTCGTGGTTTACAAAATTCACCAGCAACGCACTGTACGTACAAAAATCTCCACTGCTTAACACCGCCGTTGCTAGACCGCGAATGAAATAACATAACACAGCACTCACTGCTGTAAGGCACATGCATTATGTCATACATAAGCACACCAAAGAGTGCTTGCTTGATTGCTTGATTGCTTGCTTGCCTCAGACAACAGAAGCGTCTCAAACTCTCTGGCTTTGTACCCGCACACATAACAACAACACAACGACACAACAGCACTAATTCACATGCTTAACAGTTACGTCACAGCAGCAGTTGTATGAAAATTGTTGTTACATTCGTTTACAAATGGCATATAATAGCTAAGCCAATGCTTAGACAAACTCTACTCATAACACATTAGAGATGTTCGCATTAACATTTCACCTCTTTCTCTCTCTTTATCTCGTTTAGCACTGTTATTGAAATGCTCTTTAATTTTTACTGTTCCTTCGTAAATATTTTTCAATCAGAAAAATGAGTGTTCCATTGCTTGCTTTTGTGTTGACTTGTTGTGTGTGTGTTTATGTTTGGTTTTGCCTAATTTTCTTTTGTCAAATTTTACCGGCAAAACGAGAGATAACAACAAAACATGAAAAAGCAAAAATTTACACTTTAATTGAAAGCAATGAAAACGTGTTGACATGATTTCTTTTGTTTTTTTTGTTTTTATTTGTGTTTTGTGTTTTTTCAATTCTAACATTGTTTTTTAGTTTTGTGCTTCGTCTGCGCGCCCACAATGTTTGACTTTGAAATTGATCATACGATTATCGTTGCTAATTTCATTGCATCTTTCCATATGGATACGTCGGCGTTCACGACCCAATTTATTTGATTTGATTATATTAGTCCAAAAAAAAAATAATTTCTTTTTTGCATTTATTTATATGGTCACGTACATATAATTTATGATATTTTCCAAAAATTATTTGCAATTTTTAGCTTTGAATATATTCTATGGAAAGCATACATATAATATATATTATAGATAAAATTTATATAATGGTTTTTATATATATTTTATTTTGGCTATAGGTCCCTTTTTTGTTAAATAATTCAACGTTTAATATTTTTTATTATACTCTATATTTCGACTCTCCTTGCGAGTCATCATCAGGATCATGATCTAACATAAATTAATATTAATAAAACTATATCTACGTCATCCTCTTTATTCTATCATCTATATTACAGTACAATGTCGTTGTGTCAGAATAACAGAATTAGAGTACAGTAGAATACGGCGTATACACTGAGGACTACTCAGTAGAGTACTAAGTACATATTCACAGGGCTAGACAGTAGAGTACTACGTATACACTGAGGACTACTCAATAGAGTACTACGTATACACTGAGGACTACTCAGTAGAGTACTAAGTACATATTCACAGGGCTAGACAGTAGAGTACTACGTATACACTGAGGACTACTCAATAGAGTACTACGTACATATTCAGAGGGTTACTCAGAAAAGTGCTACGTATATACTGAGGACTA